GGGAGGAGGTTAGTGTTGTGGTTGGGGGGGATTGGGTGGAATGAAAATGATGATGGCGACGGTGAGGGAGGGGAGATGATGGGGAGTGCCGAGAGAGAAAAGAGGGTTGTGGTTACCGAGGGGGGGAGGTGAAGGAGGAGGAGGGGTGGAAGGAGGGGAAGGATCCGAGGGAGAGGGTGGAGATGGAGGGGGGGGAGAAGGAGGGGATCGGGAGGTGGTTGAGGTGGTTGAATAGGGAGACGAAAGGGGGGTGGAGGGGGGACGGGGCGTGGTGTAGGTGGGTGGAGGAGAGGTTGAGGGAGGACTTGGGGTATTTTGGGAAGTCGGTTTGATTTGAACGAAGCTTCAAAAAGACGGGAGATGTCTGTATAGACCATGGAAAGGGGGAACAGGTTGGGGAGTTGAGAGACAAGCCGTATCTCGTATCTGCTTGACCTGTCTTTAACAATGTTGGCAATGGGTAGCAACTTGATGTAAGCATCCGTCGTTGGGGTAGTATAAACAACTCAAGGCCCCATCACTCACACCTGAGAGATATACCCAAAAACATAATTTAAAACTTTTCTCATCCACCAAATCGCATCTCGCTTTCATCATCAACAAGGGCCAGAAAAGGTGACCCCCACATTCCATCAAGATCTCCACAGGGGCACCCTGCCCCCCTTTTTTCTCGGCCCCACATTCCGTACCGCCCCACATTCAGGGCTTGGGTGGGGTCTGGTAGGGTCTGATCGATATCGAGCGGTCATTGACAAGCCTCGAGTTGGGACGGTTTTTTCACACGTGAGTGATGAGAAACAGATTTTGACGGGCACAATTTCAAGTCTGAAGTTTGTATGCTGTTGGTAATTTTTTCAATTAATTTTTTTTCCTCATTGGGTCACCATTTCCCAATGGTGATTTCTCTGGCACACGTCAAGTCAAGGACAGAAATGAATAGTTGTGACTGCTGCTTGGATTTCTGGCACCTTTTTAGTCTTCAATCTTATACTCAGATTTACTTCGGTTGCTGGGGAAAAAAAAGGCTGCGTGAGTGGTGTAAGATATGGGCGGATTGATCTCTTGTAGGTGTGAGAATAACTTCACATTCATCCATATTCCCACATGTGTCTGTATTTTCCTGCTCGATGGCTACCTACAAGCCTCAAAAGGCAGCGGCATTTTCCGTATATAAACCTCTCCTTCTCACAATTTTGTCTCGTCGCCCATCCTTTATTCATTATGCATACATACACTATTATTCACCTCCACCACCATAATAAACAAACACCCTCACCTCACCCATCCAAGAACAACCGCGCAAAAAAACAACTCCAAAGATTTTTAGACAATTTTCAACCTTTCATCTTCACCACCAAACAACTCACAAAACCACTAAGTCAAGAAGCTTACACGACATGATACAGTCAACATATAACCAAACTACGCTACCACCCCAAGCGCCCAAGTCTACAACAAAACACCAGGCTACCCAACCCCAGCCTGTTCTATCATGAGTACATGCGTCTAGCTTTGGTTGCACTTGATATCAATGGTAATATATGCTTGCTTCTTCGGCCCCTTCTCTCGTTGAATGCAAATACAAATTTTTGCAACCTTGAAGCTCTTTCTACATGCGCTGCGCTGGCTCTGCTTGGTCTTGCCATAATAAAAACACACACTTTAGAAAAGAAAACAGACAAGAAAATAACAATGCATAACCTGCATCCCCGCATGCAGGTCTAAAAAGGAAAAAAAAAAGAAAAAAAAAAGAGCCGTTGCTTGGTCGAGCGCCATGATGAAAGCAACCCATGATGATTGTGTGCCGGTGATGTCTCATGTGCTTGCGTTGTGTACGTGTTCGTCCCATCTGTACCTAGTCCGTTAAGTCATTGCCCCCATCCCATAAACGCCTCTGTGTAGCCTCCTTGATAAATGTCAAAATCAAGCGAGTTGTGGTTGTTGCCACCACGGTATCGCCCCGAAACCCGAGACGCCGAAAACCGAAAAGCGAAAAAAATCAAAGCGCGGCAAACGTAACCAGGTGTGTTGGCCGCCTAATGTTACACATGATGGGATGTCAAAATCTCCATCACGAGTTCCTGTCCACCGTCTTCCGAGGCTTGTAGTTGGGAAGCTCATCGAACCAGCCCTGCTCCTCGTTGTACTTGTAGGCGTGGAACTCGATGCCGTACGGCTTGGGTTCAATAGCGTAGAGAATCCCCAGCGGAACATCGAGGTCGGCAATATCGTCCCTAGTGAGATCCATAAAGTACGCCATCAGCACCCTGCAAACTGATCGGTGTCCGATGATGAGCAGGTGATCGGTAATGCGCTCAATCTCCCGAACCATATCCCGGAGACGGCTGATAACCTGGAGATAACCCTCGCCTCCCACTCCAGGATAGATGTACTGGAGCTTGTCCTGGGACCGTTTCCGGTACTCCTCGGGGTATCTTTGCGCAATCTCTTCGTAAGTCATCCCCTCAAAGGAGCCAGCGTTGAGCTCGTTGAGCATCTCCCAAGCCTTCACATCGTAATCTTCGTCTGCGTCGAAGTACTCGGCCGTCTGCACGCTGCGTTGCAGCATCGAAGTCCAGACGCAAAAGTTCTTGTCCTCGAGCTCTTGGTTGAGCTCGGGATATGGTGGCGTGTTGTCGCCTGGCAGCGGTGGGAAGGTCGACTGTGCGATCTTGTTCTTCTGTTCAATCAGCCACTCTTTGCGCTTGTACGTCATGAAGTTATAGAGTGCAAGGCCATAGCAGTGACCTCTCTCGGTCAGTTCAGAATTGCCGCCCAGCTTTTGCAGTTGGTTATCCTGACTCTGGCCGTGGCGGGTGATCCAGATTTGTCTGGGAGAAAGGTTGAACGTCGTCAAGTAAGAAGCGATCCCGCCGCTAAGGAATCCCTTGAGTCGGTGGTGCACGAGTTTTCTCCCAACATCAATCATCTATGCACAGTTGGTTAGTGGGTGTGGCTAACAAACAAACCAAAGATAAAACATACCTGGATGTACTGAAGATGCATGTCTTCCTCCCACTTGCCCAGCGGCTCGTAAGCACTTTCATAGGCTTTTACTCTTTCCTTGAAATCAGCCAAAGACTTGACAGGATCCTTGTCCTTGTAGTCTGGCCCGGAAAGCTTCAGGCGCATGTTGGCCTCGAGGAGATTTTGGTCGTGGCAGATGCTTTCGATGAAGAGAATGCCGAGCTTTGGCTCCCGAGCTTTGATATGGTCGACCAAGAGCTTCCGCCGCTTGATCGTGCTGTTTGTGGCATCGAGAATGCCGACAGCACCGCCTCCGTGGAGAAGGTATGCCAAGAGCTCATCCAAGGTGTCGAGAGCGACTTGTTCACGCAGCTTGGCTGCAATCTCGTTATTTGGATCGAAAAACTTGGCCGACTGGTCAATCTTGGTGCGAGCCGACTTGGGCTCCCCATTGAGATCCAGCTTGGTCGGCTCATCCTCTACCATAATGTCAGGACCTTTCGTGCCATTCAGAAGGATGGTAGCAGCCTGGGTGGGCACATCGACTCCTCTGCTAGTGGCCGAGGTCGGGGATCCACTACCGGAGTTGGCCACCCCTGCCGCAAGGCGCCTACGATTTCCAACATTGAAAATCTTGGTATTGTGTTGTTGCCACGACAGGTAGCGCTGGATCTTCTTGGTGATGTACGACTTGCCTCGAGCAGGCAGACCGACCATGATGATGACGAGCTTCGCAGCGACATCGCGGTCGGGAATTCTGCCATCGGGGGACGCCTTGGACCTGGTCATGCCCGGGATATTCAGCGTGGTGGCATGTGGCCGGACTCTTGGTGTATGGCTGCCGGAGTTCTGTCGAAGGGGTGGACTGTTTCAACACTAGTCAGTCAAACTGACATGACAGCGGGATGCAGCAAGTATGACAAGGCTAACTATGCGCCCGGTTGGAAAAAGGCGCAGAAAGCTTCGCACAAAATCTCGCAGAAAGTGGAAAAATTGCATTCGACTCACATTCGAGGAGAACCGGGGGCAGTGGACGGGATGCTGCGTGAGTAGGGAGAGTCATAGTGCTGCTGGAAGCCAGGGCGTGTTGGGTGTGACGACGAGAGCTCAAAGTCGTTGAGGTCCTTTAGTGCGCTGGACCACGACGCAGCAGCTGGCGGCAGCAAGCCATCGTGAAACTGATGAGCGCCTGGAATGGGTCGCTGTCCGTTGGCGCGGATCGAGGGTGATGATGGTGCAGTGGCCGACGATCCGATTATATGGCTCATCGCCAGTTTTCGCAGCGACGAGGGCTGCGAAACTGGAAACGAGTCTTTATAGTGATATGCAAGGTCAGCCGTGGTGCTGGTGTTGTGCGGTGATGCCGCTTCGAGAGTGGGTGTGTGTATGTATAGTAGAAGCAGAGTAGTATAGAGAAGTGTGAGAGGAAGAAAAAGAAGAGGGGGAAAAGAGACCTTCTTCGCGTTTTCTTTTGCGTGAGAGACCAGTGAATGATGATGATGGTGGTGACCAAAGTGAATGCGGTGGCATGGAAGAAGGACGACGACTGGAGACTTTGAGATCAAAAGTCGAGTCCGGATGGCGCGTCTGCAACATGGGGCAGGGATTCCCTTAGTGGGGTTGCAGCGCTATCTAAGCACCAATTAGCGGCAGGACACAAAGGGCAGGGGTCCACGGGGCTGCACAAAATATTCGGTGCTGACCGTCCGGGTGTTGATCGGTGGTCGACCTTCCGTCAGGGTTCCAGCAGGGTCTCCAAAAGTCCCAGAAGGCCGGCAGCAACAAACTCTATTTTGCGGCAAAGATCTGACTTTGATCGCCACCGGCGGAGCATCTGACTGGAGCAAGCCATCACTTACAGGTTATGATGAGATGGACAAGAGATGGACAATCCGGACTGGGATGGACTGGGATGGACCGTCTCGTGGGACTTTGACGTCGTCCGAGAATATTCTGTCGACGTCGAGTGGCTAAGACGATTTAGGGTCGCGAGGCGTCTTGGCCCAGGTGCTTGGCAGGGTGTATCCGGTGGAAACGAAGTGACGTAACCTGGCTCGTTTCCCAAAGGGTCGTGGGGTGACGCGGGTGACTCAAATCACCCTTTTGCTCAAACTGCTGAGAGAGAGCGCAGCTGCCGATGCCAAGGTCTGCGAGATGAGGCGCTGATGAGAGGTGGTCTGGGGTATATATACGACCGTCGCACACGATGAGGCCACGGCAGATGACAAGACGTTCGACCGTCGGCCTCCTTCTGTGACACTCCGAAGACAAGTCGACCTGCCTCTGCGACTGCGCCCGAGCCCGACGATGGAGGTGGCCTTCTTGGCGTCCGCTGCGCAACAGAACACCAAGTCCGGAATGGGAGGACAGCCAGGAACGGGCTTTGGCTTTGTTGGCTGAATCCGGGACGTCCGTGATTTGTTGGGTTGGGCAGGTGTTGTCTTATTATACCAGGAGAGGCTGATGGAGGGCAGCCAAGTGTTGTTGGAGCAATCCGCGAGGGTGAGGGTGAGAGTGAGTCAAAGAGTTGGGAAATGTAAACAGAGAGACGACGGCTGGCCGTGGTGTTTGGCCTGGGGGAGGTACCTTCAAATATGTACCAATCTCCTACCTTTCTTTGAGTCTTTTGTTGAGCAATGTGGCTAGCCTCCTCCTCGCCCGCCCCCCTCCCTCCCGGCAGGAATTACCACAAAGACAAGTCCATCAACACTCTGACGCGGGATTCTGGGGTTTCATTGCCCCAGATGCGATGTGCACGGCTCAATAGTGGTGCAACAAGTGGTGTCGATGCTGCCGATGCACCCTCCGCTACAGGAGGCTTTCCCATATTGAGGAAGATGGGGATCTTTGCTCGTTGCGGAGGAGCCGCCGGCTTGGCTCTTTCAGCTGCAGCCAGCTCAATTCCAACCTCTGGTGTTAGGTCCGCACTCGGACTTCCGGCGCCGAATGAAGCCCACGCCAAGGCAATCAGGGCCTCATCATGCCTCATCATCACTCGCACCCCCTTCACGAGGCGTCGTGCTCGACATGGGAAATGTGACAGGCTGGCCTTCCCACCCCTTCCTTCTCCAACAAGACGGCGCCCTGCTAGGTGCTTGCTGCTTGTTGCTGCGTGCTGCGCTGCATATGCACCTCAGCACGGCATGGAGGCAGAATGCGCGTGTGCCCCCCACGCTAGAACGGGGTCAGTTGCCAAGACCAGCCGCTTTCCGATGTCAAAAAGCCTGGGATGCATCCAATGCGTTGCTCGGCACCACACCACCCGCCCGTTTGTTGCTGCGGAGGGGGATGGGATGTGGTGTGGATGTGTGTGGGTGTGTTGGCAGATGAGTGCTGATGAACAACGGCATTGTCCGTGAGGGCTCTTTGTCTCCATCCATGCCATCCTCTCCTATCTCCGTATCTTCTCCATCGTGTGGTCTGGAGACCATCCACCTTTCCTTTCACTCTCACTGTCCACTGGCTGGGACGGGTCAAGAAACCCCTCTCCCACCTAGGTCTCAAAGAGGGGTTGTGAAAGATGCTGGAACCTGGAACCTAGAGGCGTGGAAACGGGCCGTTTAAAGGGCATTATATTATCCGGGAATGGACCTATCCTCGCGCTCTGATCCTTGGAACACATGAAAAGGTTAGCAATTCGAATGTGCAATTGGAGTTCCATCCGCTCAGTGTTTTGTAATGGAAAATAGTTGGGGGGAGCTCTCTGCTTTGCGGGGAAGGGTAGGGTTGTATAGGTACCCCGCAGTCGGTCGCTCGCCAAAAAGTGCAAGGGGAAGGTGGGGTTGGGGTTGGGTTGACCAGCTCCAGCCTCCGTGCCTGCCGCCACCAACCGCAATTACCAGGGGTCCAGGAACAAGCTGGAGGTGGAGCTCCTGTCTATAATTTTTTTGTCTGGAACTCAGCGAAGAAACAACAGATGGTGCCGTTTTGCTTGTTGCTTGCCTCTTGTTGTTGTCGTTGTCCGTAGGGGACCGGGCTGTCTAAGTGCTCCCCGTCTTGCTCTTGCTCCTGCTTTCTCTAGAATCGATACTGCCATGGTTTCTCGTCCGGACTTCTTGTCTCTGCATGTTCCATTATACCCTCTGACTGCTGTCGTTTGATTCTGCCCTTTCTCCTCCACCATCGCCTATCTTCCCGGTTACCCCGCTAGTCACGCTTCATCGTTGATTCTTCGCCTGCCACCCTCATCGAACAGTCGACCACATATTTGCTATCTGATTGCTGGCCTTCTCTACACCTTGTCACGACTTCCTTGGATCACGATTGCAAGACAAGCCTCTGTCATCGTCTCACGACAATCTCGCGCAGCCCTCTGCACTGACAAGGGGGAAGCCAACCTGCACAAGATGGACGAGGAAGAGAACTCTATCCATCGCATCCTTGATGCCCAGGAGCCTATTGTGAAGGAGCTTGTGCGTGGGGAAGTCGAACATGGGGTCCTCATCCCACTAAAGACGACACTGGAGCTGCGAGATGATTACGTGACGGCCAAAGTTCTGATCACTCGCGTGCCTCTGAAGACAGCCAACCCCGCAATCATGTACGTTCCCAACCCTCTCGAGTCCCCTGACGATAACTGCTCACCATGATAACAGGATGTTGCGAGAGCTACTATCCGAAGAGGTGGTTAAGTGCTTCCCTCATCTTCGTCGATGCGCCAAGCCTTGCGATTTGCCTGCCCACATCAAAGCGAAGTTCATGAACGAGTCCCCAGATACCCGACAAATCCATACCGGAAAATCGAACTGGATATACATCATTGCAGGGCCCGAATCCATGCTGAACAAGGAGGAGGTCAGACAGGAACTGACCAAGCTCGACGGCATGGAGGGTGAGGAGGTGTTCATCAGCAGCATCCCGGTCCCTATGGTTGCACCTGCTTCCCAGGTTCAGGCGGCTATGTGGTCACAGCAATTCTGGCCCGCCGTATACCGCAAGAACAATCCTCTTGGACCGCATCCTTCGATGATCGCCCGCAGCACGGACGAGATCAGTGACGATGCGGCCATTTGGATGAGCCTCGCACACCAAGTCGCCCACCAGTCCGAGGCCAAAGGCTATGGAGAGGCCATGGGCGCTTGCGTTATTCAACGAGAGGAAGACAAGACGACCATTGTCGCCTTGGCTGGTGACGCTCGTTGGTGCCAGCGAGGCAAATGCGGAGATGGAGGCAACCCCATGGCACACTGTGTCATGCGTGCCATCTCCATGGTTGCCCAAAAGCTGGTTCGATGCGAAAACAGACAAACTCGGACCAATCCGGAGCCCATTTTAGAGTATGAGTGCTTCCAGGACAAGCCCTTGTTCGAGGATGAAAGAAAGGTCTTTGAGCTGGAACATCCCAGCCCAGACGGCTACTTGTGCCACGGTCTCGAGATGTACCTGACACACGAGCCCTGCGTCATGTGTTCCATGGCGATACTCCACTCTCGCATGGGCAAGGTTGTCTTTCGTCATCGTATGCCGTTGACGGGCGGGCTCAGCGCGGAGGATAGGGGTTGTGGTCATCCCTCACTTGGGGGAGCCGATGGCGGTCGTGGTCTTGGCCTGTTTTGGCGCCGGGAGTTGAACTGGAGCTTGATTGCCTGGGAGTGGGAGTCAGGCGGCTGCATGAGGCCTCTAGAGGTGGACAAAGCCATCCATGCCTAGTCACTACGTGGGCTCTACACCTCCCCCTTTGCGGCACACACAGCTACACACGGCTCAACAACACTGGCGACGACATCTCTGGGCGGTGTCGTCGTCACGCCTTACATACAACAACAGCAACAAGCTAACATGGGAGGATCTTATGGTGTTCTTGATAGTATTGAGTTTTGCAAAGAAGAAGTCGAGGGAGTTAGGTAGTCCTCTCGTACATCCGGATTGGCATTATGACGGCGCAACAAAACACAAAACATTTCACAAGCAACAACAACATGGACTGGGAAGCATTTTAAAGTATCTCATTGCGAAGGGATGGTGGGCATGGAGGATAAACGGATAGCAAGGCGTTAGATAGGGGGGGGCAATCAGCATGATTTATAGCTGTGGTGTAATGTATCAACTTTCTGTCCTGTTAATGCCCTGGCTGGTGTTTCCGTGATATTGGTTTGAGGGGAGTGGTGGTAATTGATGAATCCTGTCCGGCAAGATAACGACAGAGAGCAACCGACAGCACAAGACACTTTTGAAGATAGTCGTCTGTAGAATTAATGAGATTGTGGGTGAGATTGTAACCACTTATATATGCTATGACCTCGCCACTCTAACAACCAAAGGCGGCCATGGTGTAGTGGTTAGCATTAATGCCTTCCAAGCATTAGAGTCGGGTTCGATTCCCGATGGCCGCACTCAACTTTTGGACTTTCATTTTTGGCCTTTTCTCACTGGGCTGAATGCCCCTATACATAACACCCTTCGTCTGATTTTTTAAGGTTTTGGGGATTACCCATCGGGATCTCTTCTCATGGAATTCCGCTCCTTCCTGCTTGAGGGATGTTGTCCAACAAAAGTGGGGTTCCGACACTGTGCCCGCGGTGACCCAGCCTGTGTGATCTGGTCCTCAAAAGCGGGCTTGGCGCCGCGTTTTTTATGGTTCTTGCTCACTCACTCGCTCTCCTCAACTGACGTCGATACAGATAACGGTTGCTGGGTCATTGTTGTTCAAAGTAAGTTTGTTGATTTGTTAACGGGTGGGTGGTCTGAGCTCACTTTTCATTCTAGATTCTCTCTCCTGCGCAAGATTTTCTAAAACAACACGGAGAGGGATTTGGTCAAATGTGTCGATAACATCCAGCCTCACGCCTTCGACATACACACCACAGACCACTTGCGGCTTTTACTTGGACAGAAGGAGTTTCCGCGCCGCCCGGTCCGGAGGATTCGGAAAGGGTGGAGTCCGGAGGTCCCGAGCCGGAGGCGGAGGAGTGCGGTTTTGACAGCTTGGCGCCAAGGGGGGGAAAGGGAAAGCCAAGATGCCGACCTTGGCGATTACAAACTTCAACATTGTGTTGAGCGTGTTGGGGGGGTGGATCAGTTTGTTTGGGCTGGTGTCGTATTTGATGAAGGAGAATTTTTATTTGAGTGAGGCTTGTAGGTGTTTTGCTTCTTGTCTATATCCCTTATGACGCCTGGACTTGTACACCCTCCCTCAACCGTTGGTGAAGATGAGATACTGACGAAAAATGTATTAGTGATTTCGTTGCTTGCGGGAGTGGCCTTTTCTCCGGCGGCGGCGAATTTAATCAAACCGCTCGAGTATACTTTGGGATCGGAAGAAGACCTCAACATTGTCACGCTCTCATTCACCCGTCTTGTTCTTGGGATTCAGCTTGTTTTGGCGGGTGTTCAGTTACCGTCACGATATCTCAAGAAACAATGGCGGCCGCTGCTGTGGTTGCTGGGCCCGATCATGACGGCTATGTGGCTGTCTACTGCTCTTTTAATCTGGGGTCTGGTGCCTGGGATTAGGTTTCTGGAGGCGCTGGTGGTGGGCAGCTGTGTCACGCCCACGGACCCGGTGTTGAGCAATGTGATTGTGAAGGGCAAGTTTGCGGATCATAACGTGCCGAAGGAGCTGCAGGATGTGATTATTGCCGAGAGTGGTGCGAATGATGGGTTGGGGTATCCGTTTTTGTTTTTGGGGCTGTATTTACTTGAGGTGGGATGGGGTGGAGGGGATGGGGGGGTGAGGGGGGCGATGGGGCAGTGGTTTGGGGAGACTTGGGGGTATACGATACTGTTGAGTGTGGTAGGTTTTGTGCTTTTGATGTTTTGCCCTCGAGGGAGAGGAGATTTTGCTAACCAGCTGGTGATGTTGATAGGTGTATGGTGCTGTTGTGGGTTGGGGAGCGAACAAGCTGTTGCATTGGGCTGAGGAGAGGAAGTTTGTGGATAGGGAGAGCTTTTTGGTTTTTGCTATCAGTTTGGCGGTAGGTGTCTTCTACAACTCCTGAGGTTGGGTCTGAAGAAGTAGGGGAATGTGTCTGGGAAGGACTAAGCTAACATCTGTTGATAGTTGTTCATCGTGGGAACGTGTGGGATGATTGGGAGCGATGACGTCCTTGCTTGTTTCATTGCAGGCAATGCCTTCACCTGGGATGACTGGTTTCGATTGGAGACGCTGGACGATTCGTTACAGCCAACCATTGACATGCTGCTGAATGTGTCGGTGTTCATGTGGTTGGGGGCGGTTTGCCCGTGGCATGAGTTTTTGGTGAATGATGGGGTGGCACCGCTGCATCGGCTGGTTATTTTGGGAATTCTGGTGCTGCTGTTCAGGAGGTTGCCATGGGTGTTTGCGATCCTCAAGTTTATCCCCCAGATCGAGGAAGTCCGCCAGGCGATATTCGTGGGTTTCTTTGGCCCGATAGGGGTTTCGGCGATCTTCTATCTCTATATCACATTGGAGTTCTTGAAGACGATGGAGCCAAGCGAGGAGGTTGAGCATTTGGGGCACGTGGTCAAAGTTGTGGTATGGTTCCTGGCCATTTGCAGTATTGTAAGTTGGAATCTTTGTTGTTATGACAAGAAGACAAAAGGGACTAACATGTACGGTGACAGGTTGTGCATGGCCTGAGTCTCCCACTTGGAAAGCTAGGATTTTACCTTCCCAGGACCCTCTCAAGAGGAATCTCTGTGACATCTGATGGGGGGGAATTTCTTCCACCAATTCGAAACAGAGTGAGCACACTGGTCGCCCGACGACCAAGGAGAAACTCAGGAGAGGAACTGCCTGCCACGGAGCCTCCTTCGTCAGACGTAAGGCGTTCCGTTTCTAGAATCGGCGGCAGTGTTATCCCCAGTCGGCCAGTAGGTGGGGAACTAGATGTCAAAACCATACCCGCTGGCTCGGGCGGGCTCGCCATGGGCACTGACGGATCTAGCAGCGCCGTCGAAATAGACCTCGAATCACCAAGTCTCCCAGGACGGACAATACGGTTTCCGGATGAGTCTCCAGCGATCGCAGGACCGACCTCAGCACCGGGACCGGCCGGGACGCACAATGCTGACAGTAGTTGAGTACTGGGCTGCCCGGATTAGCCGGGATGACCTCCATCTCGGGGTAAAGAAACAGTGCCAAGTGGTGGGATTGGGAACATGATGTATAGACCACCAAACGAGAGGCCTCAGATGTCCTCTGTCCTTTCTTTTCTGCAGTGTTGCGTGCCTCCATAGCAAGGAGTTTAGTATCATTTTGGAGTCGCATGTTGTAGACAGAATAAGATGAAGAAGACCAGTTAGCTACCTCCCTTTTTGAACCCTTTTATGACCCTTGAAGGCCCTCGTCTCATGCAGCAGTCTCGCTTTCTCTGACCACGACGTCAGTCCGTAATATGAAAAAGAAATACTCGAAACAGTTCCGTAATTCGTCCATCATTTATATCCTATTCCCTCCTGTTAGCGTCCGCAAAATGACGCGTTTCCCCCTGTCCCCTTTCCAGCGCCGAGAAACTCGGTGGGCTAGTTTTTGGTGTGTTTGGCTAAGTTTAGACGACCCAAAAGACTGGATGGCTGGGATTGTTATTTCGCTTGGAGGGAAAACCTCGATAGAGACATATCAATCGGTTAAACTGCATGTCTGAGACGCAGTATTGACACGCACATACCAGATATCTTCATGATAGTGCCCCGTGCACCCTGAGACCCCTCTCGGAGCAGCTTCTCCAAGGTTAATCAGTTGACTAGTGGCAGCTGTCAAAGAGGCGTGATGGATCCGTGATCTCCATCATGGCATCATTGCGGAATAGCGTCGTCCCATCTTCTTCCACTTGCTACTACGATCCAGACCAAGCCCTTTACATACACACATATGTACACTAGGCCGGCGGATCCGCTGCAGGCCAGCCAGGCAGATGTGAGTTGCAGCAAAGCAAAAGAGACGCCGAAGTCAGGAACACCTCAGGGGACAACTGGCAGTAGTAGCAGAGATGCAGCCCGAGTGCGGATGAATGACGACTGTCACACACACACACACACATACACTCACTCACTCAGTCAGTCACGCCGCGTGCCTGCGGTTCAGTCTGATAGGGATCCTGCCGACGATGCCGTACCCAGGACTTTTGTCGAATTGAAATATCGAAGAATCCTCCCTGTATCCGTCAGTGACCACTGACAGTTCCAACATTGCGGTAGCTTTACCCTAATTTGGGATTTTGCCAGTGGCTGACAGAAGCACCACGCTTTCCCTGCGTTCCACAAGGCCCCACCTTTTAGGTTTGATCCAGGTGTGCAGAGCAGTCCATTTGCCCCCGGTCCGGTCTGGTCTTCACCTCCTCTCCGCAGCCAAGTGCCCTCCTCACCTCAGACTTAACTTTTGCCCTGCCCAGCTCACCTTGCCTTTTGCTTTTCCCCAATTCACATTGCTAGCTAGCTACACAACAAGAAACAAGGTCACGACACACTCTTCCGGACGACCGTCACCCGGAAGTTGACCGCCGAGGGTCAGACATCTGCAACAGAGACGCAGAGAGTGACGATTGACCATCCAGGTCAAGGCTGGGCGATTTTGCCATTGCAAGGGTCCGAACATCGACAATTGGCCAGTGCTCATTTTCGCTTACCGCCTTTCGAACTGCTCTCTCTCCCTTTGCTTCTCGCCGTCACCGCTGTGCAGCACTGGAAGTGCCCCAACCCCATCCAATCCAATCCTGTCTCCCCGACCGACCGACCAACCTACCGACCACCGGGGGACCTCACCTCCACTCTCTCCGTCGCCATCATCCACATCGCCAGGTGACATTTGTGAGTGAGAGCCGCGTTTACGAAGAGACGACACCGCTGCCCGACCATCGCGAAGCCCTGAGAACCCCGCCTGGGCGCAATTTGGCCTCGTTCCCACTTTGACTCTTGCCGTCCCAACAAAAAACAACATCAACTGCGAATTGTTTCGAGTCCGAGTCTGATCTCGTCCCTGACACACGACACTACCGACAACGCCTCGCAAACGCGACGCGCACCCCCTGCTCGACAGCGGCCCGTTTTACTTCCAGCTGGTTGCACACCAGCCTCGATGGCCACGGCAGGACCGGCCGCCTTGAATTGCGAACTGTCCAACATGGACCAACCAATGTCAGCCTGGGAACCCTCGTTTGATGAGCTCAACAACAACAACAACAACAGCAGCAGCAGCAGCAGCAACTATCCCAGCCACTTCATGTCGCTGATGCAGGATTTCACCAATGAGCCGTATCCAGAAGAATATTTCGATTCCGATGAGAGCCCTCTTCCCTCGGGGCCTGATGTCATGGACGACGTGGGGGATGTCTTCATCCCCTTGTCCCCTTCTGACGCTCTTCCCATGAGCCAGGTCAACTTGTACACCAGCTCGCGGAACTCGTTGGCCGACTCGGGCTCCTCCAACGGGCCAGCAAGCACAACGTTTACTAGCACATCATTGAGAAACCACAAGGATGATTCAGTGCTGGATGGGTCCGAGATCAAGCCAGAATGGAAGACGGAGCAAACTGTCGACGGGCGTAATGGTCTTGACGGGCCAAGTTTCGGAGGAGCGATGGAGCCTCATTCAGACTTCAGCTCCCCAAACAGCGCCGGCTACGAGACAGCCCAGCAACTATCGCCGCAGACGAGCCAGGCCGATTCTCTGATGTTTGGCAATAACAATATGTACATGGTAAGTAGCTTGTCTGGCCAGGGCAAGACATGGCAAGCTGACGGTTACATGAAGCCCTTTGATTTCAAGCAGACAACAAGTGACATGTCACTCGAGACTTCGCGCGAAACATCTCCTTTCTCCCCACGAATGCCCAACCCCCAATCGCCGCAGTACTACCATGGTCTACCAACAAACACCTACCCACCATGGCACCCAATCGGCATGGGTGTAAATCCGCAGATGGTGCCTGTTCCATCACAGTTTTCTGGAAACGTAGGGCCACCACTCAACTTCAATAGGGGGTTTTTTACCCAACCGCAACCTTTCAAGCTTACCGTAGACCCAACGCCTACCAAGTCCCGAGTCGAGACGCAGATTCCGATAAAATTGAACCTGACGCCACTCCCTCCTGGTATCAAAAGGATTCATCTTCCAACACACACCATCAGCAAGCCAAAGCTTCTCGCCAAGCCTACCCCAGAGCCGTCTCCAGACATGTTGGAGCTGCACGTTCGGCTTGTTTGTACAAGCGCCATGCAGAACAAGGACCTCATGAAGACAGCCATGGAACAAGCACGCAAGGCATCCAAGGTACCTAGAGTGAAGCCGACTCTACCGTCCTTGCAGTCCGGAGACGGAAGTGATGAAGGACCAAAACCTCAGGATGGCGGGGAAGTCACCATTTGTCAAAATTGTGTGTCGCGAGAACGGAAGCGGGCCAGTCGCAAAAAGATCAAAAAGGTGGAAGATGAAGAGATTTGGAGGCAGGACGAGCTATACCGAGTGATCGTTTTCAACACTGGCGAAGTCAGGGAGTGGGAAGCCCCCAAGGGGGAGACGGACGAATCAGGCCAGTTGCAAGTGCACATGGTGCAACCAGGAGCGCCGTGGACTGTCGAGGCACCGATGAGAATCGCGTGTTACTGCCGGCATCATACCGAAAAGCTGGGCTTTCAGGTCATCTTCACACTGACGGATTTCAGGGGAGAGTTTGTCGCCCAGGCCTTGTCACCCTCGATCATGATTACCGATGATCACAAGACTCCCCATGCCGCCGAAAATGCATTGAATAGACAGGCTGCCGTCGAAAGCACAGTTTTCTACCCCTCGCCTCCCCTGACCAACGCAGCAGATAGGCGCAGCTCATCGATGTCTACGCAGTTGCCTGACCAGCCGATCCAAGCTTCTCGCCTCTTGGTACGCCCGGCTCCGGCTGGACCCCTCCCTGGACAGCAACCGTCGAAGAAGAGAAAGCAGGCCGCAGCACGGCTCGAAACGGCCCTGTCTCCGGTAGCACAACTGCCATCGACGGTTGGCCCCTCGGCTTCGTCAACACCATCCCCCCACTATCGACACATGCCACCTGCACATTTGGGGCTCCCCCCTGACGGAATGTTTGTGTCACCCACAGGGACAATGGCCCCAGGCCAGCTGCAAATGTCACCGGGGCACGCCAGTGGTCCACCGACGCCCAACCACAACCAACCGTCGTTATTCAACCCGAACGGGACCGCGAATCTGGACAATGGAGGTGCCGGTTTATATTCTGGAACGTCCTCGCTCCACCAAAGCAGAGCCCCCAGCCCCACCACCTCCATGGCAACCCTTACTATGCCCGCAGCACGTGGGGGCGTGGCTCTTTCTCAAGTTGCACCCAGAAATGTGTACGCTTCTGGTCCAGCCAGCGCCGCCTCGAACGCCGCTTCACAAACTCCAGTCATACATAAGGTGGTACCGCAGGAGGGCTTGGTACTGGGAGGGTATGAGGTTACTGTGCTAGGCAAGGGGTTCAAGAGGGGCGTGGAAGTCATGTTTGGCGGTAAGCCGGCGACGACGACGACATTCTGGGGCCCTGAATCTCTTGTGTGTCTAGTGCCACCGGCCGAATCTCCTGGTGCCGTGAGGATCACTTTCAAGGATGCTCAACTAGAATTGCAGGGACACCCCGTGTGGTTTACGTACAAGGACGACTGTGATCAGCAAGCTGTCAACCTCGCCCTTGCTATCCTCAACAGTAAGATGAATGGAGGGTCTGGTGGTCTCTACGGATTTGCGCAGCAGATCATCGGAAGGCATCAGGAATCGCAGGACAGCTTTGGGGCTGGAGGCGGGATGACTGGAGGGGATGGATCATACACTGGCCGACCAACTGGGGCAAACCTCGATGGCCAGCTCCTAAACGTTTTGGAGATGATTGATCTCGATGACAGCCCACACTCGGCTCGGTTCAACTTGAGGACGAGGGCGACGGGTCAAACTGCCTTGCATGTCGCGTGCTATCTTGGCCTTCATCGCTTTGTCGCTGGTCTTTTGGCTCGCGGAGCAAACCCCGACGTGCGAGATAAGGCCGGATACACAGCGTTGCACATGGCGTCTCTCAAGAACCGGCCAGACATCATCCGCCTTCTGACTTCGCACGGCGCGGATTCCACACTGCGGACACTGTCGGGTCTGACTGCTGCGGATGTGGCCAAGTCACCAGCCGCCATTCGAGCCATCAACCGCTTTGAATCACACACGCGCTCCCGCAGCGGCGTCTCTCTCCATAGCAGGGTCAACAGTGCACTCAGTCTCGCAAAGGCACTGCCCGCACCCGAAAGCAAGGATGCAGAGAGTGATAACAGTCTCAAGGTGGAGGCCGATGACGGCGAGGAAAGTCCAGAGTATTCGACATTTGCGACCACGGAAGAGAGCGACGCGGCTTCTGAGAATGCTGACGAAGAAGACGAGTGGCTCGATATGCGCGAAAACAACAGTATCACACCAGCTCCACCGGCAGATGATGCACCCCGTCGGCAGCGCCGTGGTACTGATGGTCTGGGTGGGCTTGCTTTGCCGACAGCCGCCATGACTGCGTTTAGGGACCACATGACTACTCAGTTCCAGCAACTGCAGCAGGCTATGCAGCTCAACATCCTGCAGAACCTACCAATGCCGTACATCCCTCAGATGCCAGATTACCAGGCCGCTGTGATGCAACGGTTAGCCTCGATGGTTCCCAACCTGGGCGGCCCTCGTCCAGACTCGAACGTGGAGGACGTTTCCTCTATCAAGGAGCTGTGGCACGCTCTCTCGTCGATGGCCACCAGTGCTCAACCCGCGCCAATCCAGGCACCACCAGCGTACAGCGAAATCTTCCAGCAAGATACTTATGACAAGAAGCAATCGTCTGCGGTTCAAGCTGCCGCCGAGGCCGAGGCAGATGTCAAGTGTGCCGCCCTGTACGACGAGGCTGGGCCCTCTACTCAAGAGGCCCTGACTGTCACGGCCCCAGTGGTGGAGGCGGAGGAACAGTTCTCGGATGAAGATGCCGCTTTCATCGAGATTGGGCCCAAGAATGCCATCACTGAGGCTCAGCGGGAAAGGATCTTGAGGGCGCGCGCCGAAAGGATGAAGAGGCTGAGTGGGGATCGGAATCTGTTCTTCATTTGGGTATGTCGACTCGCCCATGATGTTTTTGATGACAACATGCTAACCATGTGCTACAGATTCCTCTTCTCGTCCTCATGATGTGTGCCATGTTCTACAGCAGCTTACCGTACTGGGGCTCCACCATCAGGGAGGTCATTACCAATGTGCGTGTACCTCAGGGTGCTGTTCTTGGCCAGCTGGTATAACGTGATGGACGTTTTTGCTGTTGTAAGAGAGTTGTAAGAGACAACTCAGCTATGGGGTTAGCTGTGTGGGGGCCAGGAGAGGCTGGTTGGAATTGTGTTTTTGGTCGGACTCGAAAGAAGCATGGCGTTTGGGCGTCTGACAAGAGCGTGGAATTATAGTGCGGGTATATCATAATCTTGTTGGTCATGGATTATGTCTTTGGAGGTCGGCTTATGGTTGGGGAGCAAAACCCAAATTGTTTTTCCGTTTCTGCTTTTGAGCGATGGTTTACAGTGATGTGGGTGTGGGGTGGGAACGGTGGTCCTATATAAAAGGGGCTTTGTGTTTTATCTTTTTGGTGTTATGTCACGAATCGGTGACGATGATGGGAGCGGCGGCGGCGGCGGCGGCGGTGGTATACTTTGTTTTTAATACATTTGTTCTGAAGAAGGGATCACGGCGTTTATTTCTTTGTATGTATATATTTCGGAGGGCTTGTTTCTGGTCAAGACGATGTGTATCGGCTGGGCTGGGGATGGATATGTGGAATGTGGTTCCTGCCTGTTTACAAGGGCGGTTGGTTGAATGGATGTGTGGTTTCTTTGTGCTGCCCGTCGGTTCTCAATGATGAATGTGTGATGTGAATCCGTTATGGACAGGGTAGGACACTTGTGTAGACCTTGTAGGCGAAACGGCAGAGATTCTGAGATGGGGTGGAGGGCTTCAAGTTCATTAACATGGAAGGGGGTTGTGGCGGGGTGATGTTTGTGGTTGGGGAGGGGGTTTGGGTGATGCGGGCTATTTTTTTCTTATGGGGGTGGTGAGGTGATTTGAATAGGTCTCGCTGAAGAAATGGCAGACTGTAAGTGAGGCAATGTAAAGCTAGCAGGAAAGAAACTATATAGGTTCCAGGCCCTAACCAAGCACTTGCATTTTGTGAATCTCATGTGCTCGTGATACCCTCATGTTCTTGGACCCACCGACCCAGCTGGATGGCCCGTGCGTATCAGCTTATCAAACTTTGTGGACTGGGCTTCCTGACCAATTCCACAGCGCCAGCGCCCCACAACAAAAAGGCAAAGAGACCAGCACTGCGACTCCAAGCTTTTCCCCAACCGTGAACACAACTTGCGACTTTGCAGTTTCTGCTCAAATCACAACAAAGCAGAAGCAGCCGGCGGCTCACTGACAGAGTGAATAACTTCTAGCGGCGAATTCAAGCGGAAAATTTCTCGCTCGTCGGCCATTTTGAGATTCGACCGATCCGCGGCAGACCGCCAACCAACCACAACCAACAGTCGCTGATTCCATCCACCACATTCTAGCATCCATCGAGTCGCGACTTCAGATCTTCCATCTAACCAGCTCCGCTGGCCATCAGAGTCTTCTCTGATTCTTTTTCTTTCCATTTCAGTTGATATAGTAGGCAAATCTGCGGATGGGATTTGGCTTGTGATTGCAGGGGAGAATTTGCGGAGGAGCATCGCGCGTGAGGCCTGCAGGGTAGCTGGGCAACGGAGCGATATTATTTCCTGCTCTCCTCTACTAGTCATCATCATCTTCTCTCCAAGCAATCCATTGCAGCAGAACAGCGATATCTCTACTACTTGTTGAGCATCACTGGATTGACTTGTTGATTGCCCCTTCCCACGTTTCACACCCATCATGGAAGACCACGGCGATGAAGTGGCGGCCGATTTCCGTGAGGCGCTCCAGGACTTGACCACCAATGCTCGCTTTGAAATCGTCACATTGACCAACATCGCCCGAGAGAACGCCGACCATGGTCTGGCCATTTCAGAGGTCCTCACAAATCACATCAAAGAGGTAACGTCGTGACTTGCAGATTGTCCTTCTGATCCTTGATAATCAGAAATGCTAACATCACGATAGGCACCCGCCTCCAAAACCCTACCCGCCCTCTACGTCCTGGACTCGATCGTGAAGAATGTCCCGACTCCCTACGCCCTATATTTCGGCCCCAAGCTCTATCAAATCTTCATGGGTTCCTACACCAAAGTCGACAACGCGACACGGAGAAAGATGGACGAAATGCTGAAGACATGGAAGGAACCTGTAGCCGGGTCCATCTCCAAGAAACCGGTCTTCCCACTTGAATTGGTTCGACCCATTGAGAACGCTCTGCTGGCTGCGCGCAATGCCTACATGGAGCAAGTCAAATTCCAGACCCATCTCATGCGAGGGCGTCCGGCCGGCCCGCCTGCTAGAGATACGCCGACACCTCCCATGGGCAGAGCTTACCAACCACCACCACCACCACCACCACATGGACAGCCGTCATATCAGGGACCACCTAATGGACAGTACCCGCCGCCTGGAGAACAGGCCTATCCCATGCGCTCCGGGAACGTAAGTGCTAGTGTAGCTCTCATTCATGCCGTTCGTGTTGCTAATACATGTCTACAGACACCCAATGGCGTCCCTAACCGTACTACGCCACCGCAGCCTGCTCCATCAGCCGGGCCATATGCTCACTACCAGCCACCTCCCAACCAAGGTCCCTATGGTGTTCCTCCAGCTCCAGGAATAAACATAGACAAGTTGAAAGATGATATCCAGCAGTTGATCGAGCTGGACAGGGCGGGTTTTGCCCAGAACATGCATGATGCTAGTAAACAAAACAGACTGAAGGCTTTGCTGGATTTGCAAAAAGTAGTCCAGAGCCAAAACCTGCCTCAGGAGCAGTTGATGATCATAAGCGATCAAGTTGCTAAACTTGCTGTAAACATGCGCGCTGCCCAGGCGCAGCCACCGCCATCATATCCTCCTGCTCTGCCACCACCATACAACACGCACACCCCAACACCTCCTGTTGTAACTCAACAGTTTGCACCTCCCCCAGTTGCTGCCGCTGCTCCTCCACCTTCTGTACTGCCCCAATTACCAGCGGTACTAGCGGCGGCTCTGGGACGTCCGGCATCAAATGTTGCTCCCGTGCCCGTGGCAGCGGCACCACCACCACCAGTCCGTCCGACAACCACCGCAGGAGGTGCCGCTCCGGGAACACTATCTCTCGATGCGATTCTTGGCCAGGGCGCTCTGGCTGCGCTTTTGGCGGCCAAGAAACCTGCCACCCCTCAACAGTCATCTACTGCGCCGGTTCCGCCGCCGGCGGCTGTACCACCTGCTTTGGCCGCGCTGCGATCACCACCACAACAAGCAGCTCCATTTCAACCACCACCAGCACCACCAGTTGCTCAACAACAACCGCCCGCTGCGGCAGCCAACCCGTTGACACAGAACCCATCGGCTTTATTGGCTATGCTACGGCAGTCCGGCCTTCTCGGCGGCACCCCCGGCGTACCTACACCACCACCCGCCATCCCATCTCTCCCACCCCCGGATCCGAACATCATAACTCTCACCCCTGCCTCTCTCAAATTCCCCCGCCTGCATCTGTTGCCTTATCTCCTCGATCACCTCGGCCCCCCCTGCTCCCAGTGCGGCCGCCGCTTCCCCACCACGGAAGAAGGCAGAAAGAAGAAGACGCAGCACATGGACTGGCACTTTCGTGTTCATCAGCGTGTTGCTGAGGCTGAGCAAAGGGGTCAGCACCGGTCGCAGTTTGTGAGCGAGCTTGATTGGATTCAGAGTCACGAGGAGCCGGATGTGGATTATAACGCCCCCAGCGGCGGGGGCGGGTCAGGAGAGGGGGATGGGAGCGAGAGTGATGATAATGATTGGTCTGCTGCGGTAAAAGGGGGGAGGAGGAAGAAGAATGAGAAGAAGAAGAGGTGGATCACCGCGCCTGATGAGGGGGATGGGACGGGGACGGGGACGAACAAGGTCTGCCCGATCTGCCAGGAGAAATT